AGGTGATGGCCTTGACTTGCTCTCTTGGGTTTTTCTCAATATTGCTTGGTAGGCCTCATTGATGTATCGCAACCATCATGGTAACTAATTTCCCAATCTATACTTTTAATTTTTTAATGGATGCCTCTTGGCTTTGAAACCTTACTTCGGTATTCTAGATGAATTTAGACAATAAATCCTCCAAATTAGGCTTCTTTTCATGTTGAGGTGGTGGTGGTGCTTTAAAGCCAAGAGGCCTCCTTGCTTGATCATTGCTCTATGAAAGTTTAGGTGGCTCCTCCATCCAAGGTTGCAAGAATTAGAGTACGAGTTAAAACCTATTCTATTAGCATTTGAAACAAAGTTAGCTTGCTTAGACACAAATGGATTACCCACTTGACAAGTTGCACTATCATGGCCTAACTTTCCACATAAATCACAAGGATTAGAATTTAAAATAACTCTCATTGAATCCATTTTCTTATTAAGAGCAACAATTTAGGCATTTAGAAAATTAAAAAAAAAATCTACCGAATAAATATCATTTTCTTTTTTCATATTTCTCTCATTACCTTATTGATAGCCGTTAGAAACCATCTCCTCCAATAAGTCATAAGCATCATTCGAAGTCTTCCTCATAATGGTACCACCTGTAGTTGCATTAATCATAAAACGGTTAGAAGAGTTAATACCATTATAAAAAGTTTGCAATTGAAGCTATATGGGTAAGCCATAATAAGGACACTTCCTAAAAAGGTCTTTAAACCTCTCTCGAGCTTCATATAAAAAGTTAGCATCAAATTGAACAAAAGTGGTTATGTCATTCCTAAATGTAGCGAGTTTCTTAGGGTGGAAAGAATTTAGATAAAAATTTCGAGGTATAACATTCCACGTACTAATCGATCTTACAAGAAAAGACAATAACCAACTTTTTACTTTATCCTTAAGAGAAAATGCAAATAATCTAAGTCTAATAGCATTAGAACTAACACCATTAAATCTAAAAGTGTTACAAATCTCAAGAAAATTAGCAATATGTAAATTAGCATTATCGTTAGGTAATCCATCAAATTGCACACTCGGTTTGGATCATTCGAATAATAGTTGGTTTGATCTCAAAATTGTTAACACCAATAACTAGCCGTCTAATATTTGAGGTTGTTCCCTCCAAGGATGGTATGACATACTCAATCGAGTTTTCATGTCTACTTGTTCCTCGTTTTTACCGTCTACCATAGTGCTCTTTTCTCGCTCTCTCAAATGTTCTCTAAATATTCTTTTAATCTCATGATCAAAAGCTATGAGTTTGCCACTACTAGCGCGGGTCATGCACTTGCAAACCTACAACTCAAAAGAATTGAAGAATACAAAAGACGAAGACAAATAAAAATAAAAATAATAGAATAACAAATAAAAGAAATAAAACTGAATTACAATTTAATTTTAATTCGGTTATAAATCTCAATATGCAATTATAACTTTCCAACGAACCACGTCAAAATTTGTTACTATTTTTTTAACACAATCGGATCAGCAATAAATCCAATCTAATCGTGCAATAAAGGGTAAGAAAGTATCATTCTCACGAGGAATTAAATTGCATTACTAAAATTATCTAACTTAGAATAAGTTAAATTAATTGAAACGATTAAAAGAATAAAAATTAAATTAAAACTCTATTCTAAATTTAAAAATTACTAATAAGAGGATATGAAAGTAGTTAGGGATAGAATCATTTAATTCTAAATTATGCAATTAACTACATTAACTAAACTCATGAATCACCTAAAAGTCTATCTTAATATATGTGACGACTGGATTTCCTTAACAAATTAATAAGCTATCTCTAGTCGGATTAACCCTATTCTTCACTTAGCAAATCATTCATATTTCTATGTGACTTAAATTAAAATCTAAATGCATTAGAATAAATGGAATCATCTAATATAAAATAACCATGCCATCACATACTTCTCTCTTCCATTATCGCACTAGAACTAGTTATCTTTCAATTAATAGTAAACAAATGATTTATATTGCTATGATCTAACACATACAATTCTCTCTCGAGTTCAAGTACATGTCGTTGAATCAATATGAGGTGATCAATCTCCTAAAACATTAAACATAACAATATAAATTCATCATACATCAAGAATCAAGTTTTGAGTTGAGAAAAATAATTAATCAAATAGAAAAAAAATTAAAATTATTCATCCTTAACTTTAGAGTTTATCTCTTCATAAAGGAATTTAATAGATCTAAAAATAAAATATTACATCGGTGACCCATCGGAGTAATAATTAGAGAAAACTTAATTACTTGTCTATGGAATCTATTTGCTTCTACTTTTTTCCTTCTCCATTTAATTTCTTGGTAGTCATTCAAAGCCTCTGTTTCTTCTTTGCTCTGCCGTCCCAATCTCTCTTTTTTTTGTTTTTTTTTTTTGGTGTAAAACCTTCTGTTTGTTTTGGCTCTCCTGTATGCCGTACGAAAACTCTAGTATGAATTGCTTTTTAAAGCGTCCAAGTCAAACACCTTTACTATTATTGCTGTTTAATCTTTGCTTTTGGTTTTTATTTTCATTTCAATCCTTGTTTTGCCTTACTTCTTCGGTCTTCTCTTAATTCCTTGTAACTACAAATTCAAAATATACGAGAATTAATTTATATCAAATGAAACATAAATTACACGCGTAATTAACAAATTTGAACACCAAGTTTACGTAAAATATGTGTATAAATTGTATTTATCAAAAGCCAGTCAGAGAGTATTTCAGATGCGAATGTAAGTGGCATACTTCAGAGGAAGAGATAAAGAATATGGTTTTGAGGTATTTTCAGAACACTTCCACGGCTTCAGCTGGGAGGGATACCAATACACAATTCTTGAGTCAATTGACTCATATATCACATCTGAAATGAATGCAAATCTTACGCGGGAGTTCATAGAAGCAGAGAACCAGAACGCAATTCCTCAGATGCATCCTTCGGAGGCACCTGGTCCTGATGGCACGCCGGCCCTTTTTTAACTGAAATACTGGAGTATCATTGGTGCCGATGTAAGTAGAGTTGTTATTTCCTTTTTGAATGATGGAAATATGTTCAGAAAAATTAATTTTACTCACATCATTCTTATCCCTAAGATAAAAAAGATCCAAAGAAAATAACAGATTTTGAGGCCTATTGGTCTTTATAATATTGTAGCAAAGGCATAGCCTAATAGGCTAAAGCTGATTTTGCCTTTTATTATTTCTGTAAATCAAAGTGCATTTGTACTTAGAAGTTTGCTTACAGACAATATTCTCACTGCTTTTAAGACGATGCATTTCCTGAAGCATCAGAGATAAGTTCACCTTGGAAAACTGGCAGTTAAGCTTGATGTGAGTAAAGCTTATGAGCAAGTGGAATTGCATTATTTGGAGAAGGTGATGCGGCAAATGGGATTTGCAAATACATGAATTAGACTGATTATGTCTTGTATCTCCACAGTTTCATACTAGTTCTTAATCCTTCGAGAGGTCTGAGACAAGGAGATTCCCCTCTCGCAATATTTGTTTTGGATATGTGCTGAAGGGCTTTCTACATATATTCGTAAAGCTGAGAATGATGGAAGCTGGCCAGGAATTGCTATTTGGAGGAGTCGTCCTAGCATTTCACATCTTTTCTTCGTGGATGACATTTTACTTTTCACTAATGCCACAGTGTCTAGTGTAGATCAGATTTTTGAGATGTTGAGGCATTATGAAAGTGAATCAGGGCAACAAATTAAAGTGGAAATCTTCGATCCTCTTCAACCCGAATACTGGTCTTGTTTTAGAGAACCAAATTGCGCACACTCCTGGAGTCCGTAGTGTGCGATGGCATGGAAAATACCTACGGCTTCCTTCTTTGATTGGCAAATCAAAGAAACAGATCTTCTCATCTCTTAAAGTTAGAATTTTGAAGAAAACCAACGATTGGAAGTCTCAAGCGGGAAGAGAGGTATTAGTCTGTTGCCCAACCTACTCCGAAATATACAATGAGTGTGTTCGAAGTGCCTTGGGTATTTGCCAGGATATCAACTCTCTATTTTAGCACGTTTCTGGTGGGGGCATGGTCAGGAGGAGAGAAAGGTTCGTTGACTAAGCTGGGAACGAATTTGCAAATCGAAGTGGCATGGTGGTATTGGTTTTAGAGATTTGACAGCTTTCAATACTGCTCTACTAGCTAAACAGGGTTGGAGATTATTGGAAGATGACACTTCTCTTGTATACCGAGTTTTGAGGGGTAAATAATTTCCACATTCCAGTTTTCTACATGTGAAATTGGGATCTGATCCTTCGTTCACATGAAGAATTATTTGGAGGGAAGAGATGTTCTGAAACAAGGTTTGATTTGGAGGCTAGGTAATGGCAAACTTTTCAGTATTTGGGAGGATAGATGGCTTTTGAAACCAACTACTTTCCGAATCCAAAGTCCAGTGAAGAACTTGCCTATTGGTTCCAAGGTGTCTGCTCTTGCAAATACGTGCACAGGTGAATGGAATCATGAACTCACCGAAGCAACTTCTCTTCTTTTTGAGTGGTCTTCTATTAACAGCATACCGTCGTCTTCACTTGATGATAGATTTATATGGAAAGATACCCCAGATGGCAAATTTACATTTTGCATCTGACATGACTGTTCTTCGTGGTGATCTTGGAACCAGTAGTTCTAGCGCACCAAGTCAGGACATGTGGAGGGTTATTTGGCATTTTAACGTGCCGAAGAAGGTGCAAGTTTTTCTTGTGAAGAGCTTGTCTTGATGCGCTCCCCACAAAAGTGAATCTGTATAAAAGACATTACAGATGACAGTGGTTTTAATAGTTTTGGGGCATATCCTGAAGATACTATGCATGAACATTTTATCCTGCTGGGTGTCCTCCTCCTACCTGGCAGCTTGTCCGATTTTTCTCAATGGGGAAGGGTGGGATAGACTGTGTTCTGAGGACTAGTTAGCTTAGATATGAGGAGTCCGATATGAAGATATTTGAGAGGGCCATGGTGCTACTATGGCTTCTGTGGTACAGGCGAAATCAGCAATCGCATGGAGGAAGCTTTGTTGCTGAGAAGGATCTGAGTGTGAAAGCAAGGTTGCTGACCGATGAATTCGAGGAGGTTCAAGTTCAACAGAGAGCGCAGGCACAGAACGGTGCCAGAAGCAATAATGTTGGTGGTGCCAGATGGTCCTTTCCTCCATCTGGTATCACTGAAATAATGTTGATGGCCCAGAATGGCTTTTGGAGTGGTTATTAGAAATGCTCAAGGTGATTTCTTAGCTGCTTGCTCGAAGTTACTTCTTGGTTTTGCGGATGCTTTGTCAACAGAGACCAGAGCAGTCCTGTGAGACTTGTGGTTTCCTCGCGATTTGCACTTGCAAAATTTGATAGAAATTCGTCGCCTCCTTGAATCGTTAGGGGAGTGTCGGTGCTTTCATATTTGTAAGACTGGAAAAAGGAGCAAAGCTCATGCGCTTGATCGTAAAGCTCTTTTAAATGGAGATTTTCATAAATAAATAAAAAATCATTTACCACTCATTGTCACATTCATCCCTCAATAGAAGACTACAACCAGCTACTTTTCTCAATTGTCTCCCGTCCATGTTAGTCCTCACTTTATCGGCATCTGTCCATCGTCCAGCTGCTGCATAGATATTGGAAAGCATCACATAAGGTCCTGGATTCTCTGGGTCCATTTCAAAGAGCATCCAGCTAATTTTCTCCCCAATTTCGACATTGCCATGTACTCTACAGGCACCCAATAGCGACTCTAGTAGACTAACTGAAGGTTTACAAGGTAGCTGCTTAACCACATCATACGCCTCATTCAAGTGAGCTGCTCTCCCTAGCAGGTCCACCAGGCAAGCATAGTGCTCCAAACTTGGTGATATCCCATTTTCGACCATAGAGTTGAAGACCAGCCAACCTTGCTCAACTAAACCAGAATGGCTGCAAGCTGATAATATAGTTGAAAATACATTGACATTAGGTCTCACTCCTGATAACTGCATCTGAGAGAAAATTTCGAGGGCAGCTTCGCCGTCCCCATGTAAACAGTATCCATTGATCATCACACTCCAAGAGACAGCATCCTTTTCAAGCAAGCCCTCAAACAGCTTTTTAGCAGTAAAAATGTCACCACATCTTGCATACAAATCTATAAGGGAATTGCTAACGGCTGCATCTTTCTCAAATCCCTTTCTTATCACGTAGGCCATTACAGAATGAGCAAGATTCAAGAAATTTAGTTGAGCACAAGCTGAAATTAAACTCAGAACTGTTATGTGGTCAGGTTGTAAGCCCATTTGAAACAAATCATAGCACAAGGAAACTGCTTTTTCAGGATATTTTGTTTGGATATGCACCGAAATAATAGCATTCCAGACTGATAGGTCTTTTATCCCCGTTTCAAATAGCGAGAGACACGAGTTCATATTTTCAAATCTAGCGTATGTGCATATCAGAGAAGTAAGAAGAGGAGTTTCCTGTAAAATTCCTGTTCTAATTGCAAAAGCATGGATAGACATACTCTGCAAATGGCTGTAGCACATAGGCAATACATTTAGCAAAGTTACAGAATTTGGCCTCTGATCCTTCTCCAACATTTGATGGAAAAAGATCAAAGCCTTGTTCTGTAAGTTGTGATGCCGATAGCCAGTAATCAGGGCATTCCAAGACACTATGCACCTTTCGGACATAGCTTCAAAAAGTAATCTTCCAGCATCAAGATCCCCACATTTACAATACATGCTAATAAGTGCATTGACTAAATAAACAACAGAAGCAAACCCAAGTTTAATAACATAACCATGTATAGTCATCCCATGACTCAAATTTTCTCTGTCACAGTAAACAGGGAGAACGCTTATCAGGGTAACCAAGTCTAGTGTCACACCCTCTTTCTGCATACGGCGACCAAGGTCAAATGCCTTTTCCACTTCTCCACTATACACACACCCAGATATCAAAGTATTCCATGACACGGTATTCCTAGTGTCCATTTTGTGAAATAACTTTAAAGAAGAGGTGAGATGTCCACAACCAGAATAAAATGCCAAGAGAGCATTTGAAAGATTGGGGTTTGAATCAATCCCCTTTCTAATGCTAAATGCATGTGCAGACTTACCAAGCAAAACAGCCTCCAATTTGGAGCAAGCAGAAAGAACACTAACAACAGAGACTGCATCTGGACGAAATCCACCAAGCTGCATCTCACAAAATGCAGCCAGACTTGTGTCCCATAGACCATTACACACATATCCAGACACCATCACATTCCATGACAAGAGGCTCCTATTGGACATCCGATCAAAAAGATGTTCAGCTTTATCCATCTCTCCAAGCTTAGCATACATGGACACTAGAGCTGTCAAAACAGAAACCTGATTTTCTAAACATTGTTTTATCACCCAAGCATGAAATGATTCACCATACCATATAATACCAGCAACCTCACATGAGGGGATGACCGACACAAAAGTAATTGAATTAGGCTGCACATCAGCACGAAGCATTTCTTGAAACATCTCATATGCTTCAAAAGCCATATTCTTTTGTGTATAAGCAGATATCATAGCATTCCAAACAACAACATTCTTCTTTTTCACATCTTCAAACATATTTCTAGCACTAGATAAACATGCATCACGAGCATACATTGAAATCAATGCAGGCACCAAAAACTCATTCGCAAGAACACCAGACTTTATAGCAAATCCATGGAGAGACTTTCCAGTATCCAAACATCCCAATCTGGTGCAAACAGGAATTACACTTGCCAAAGTACTCAAATTAGGCTTTAAACCCACCAAGAAGATAAGCTTAAAAACCCCAAACACTTCTTCATCAATCGCATGCAAAGAATAACAAGAAATCAAAGCATTCAAAGAAACCAAGTCTGGCTGTGGGCTTCTATCAATCAGAATGCGTGCACTCCCTAAACAGCCAATCTTTCCATAAAAATCAATCAAAGTAGTCTCTATAACAACATTTTGCTCATACCCATTTCTCAAAACAACACAATGTATCTCTTTTCCGATCCGAAAAGCACCAAGAACCGAACACCCCTTGATCACAAAAGGAAACGTAAAATCATCAGATGGGCAATTCGAAACCCGACAAGTTTTATACACAGACAAGACATGTTCGTGTAACCCATTTTTACTTAGACTCCTAATCATCAAGTTTTGCAAGAACAAGCTAGGTTTTTTAATTTTGTTGAAAGTCGAGATAGCTATATCTACCGCACCCAAATTAAAAGAAGACTTCAAAAATTGTCCCAGCAAAAGCTTGTGTTGTATTAGACCATTAACTATGAGTAGAGCTTTCAAAGACTTCAAGTGGTTGGTGTTTTTGCAGAGGTTTAAGAGATTGGAGAAATTATAACTGGATTTTAAATTGAATGAATTGTGCATTATTAGGGAGAGACTGAGAAGATTGAGAGAAGGGTGGTTACAGAAAAGAGTTAGAAGAGAGAAAATGAGGTGAGGTCCCTATCACACATAATGGATTGAGGCATGCCATGGAGCTTGAAAATATTATCAAAGAAAACTTGAGCAATATCAGGGGCGATGTAGGGATGAGAGAGTGGGATGAAGTGGGTGTTTTTTAATAGTCAGTCCACTGCCACCAACAGAGCCTTTTTACCTTTTAAAACTGGAAGGCCTTGAATAAAGTCCGTTGCGATATCAGCCCAAACCTATAACAGAATTGGCAAAGGCTAAAGCAAACCTGCAGGTTTCTATAATTCTAACTTGTGACGCTGATAAATATCACATTCTCTTATGAATTGGAGAAGACCCTCTTCCATTCGCTTCCAGTAGAAGGTGACCTTAAGTCTGTGCAATGTTTTGTAATATCCTTCGTGACCGCTCCATGAATTTCTTGCACTAACATTGGAATCAGTGGGGACTCTTCTGGAAGATTGATCCTCTCCTTAAAGAAGAGGATTCCATGATGTATTTGCGAAGGACCTACTGACTCACCTTACTGTACTAACTGATACATACGCTGTAGTTTTGTTTGGTCCCTATTTTCTGTGATGATAGGATCAAGCCGCTGAGGTATTGTAGAAAACAGCACACGGAGTTCAGTGTGCCCCCTCCTGGAGAGGGCATCGACTATTGCATTGATGTGTCCTTGTTTATACTCAATGCTATAATCATACACCAAGAGCTTAATGAACCACCTCTATTGTGCTTTTGTGGCAATCCTCTGTTCCAGCAGGTATTTGAGACTTCTTTGATAAATTATGATAGTGAAACATCCTCCCAGCAGATATGGCCTCCATTTTTAAACTGCAAGTACTAAAGCCATCAACTTCTTCTCATAAATGGAAATGGATAAGGTTCTTACCTTGGAGACTGGTACACAAAAAGGCTATAGGTTGGTGATTTTGCATGAGTACAGCTCCAATTCCTACCCCTGATGCGTCACACTCTACCACAAATAGGAGAGAAAAATCTGGAACGGCTAAGACTGGTGCTTGAGTTATGGCCTTCTTGAGTTGTTGGAAGCCGTTATCTGCTTCTTGACAAAAAAAAAAAAAAAAAAAAAGGCATTTTTCTTTAGTAAATAGGTTAAGGGATGAGCAGTTGCTTCATATCTAGCTACTGTAATATTTGGTTAACCCCAAGAATCCCCTTAGCGCTTTGATAGTTCGTGGTGTGGGCCAGCTGACCATTGCCTCAATTTTATTTGAATCAGCTATAACTTCTTGGTGGTTGATAATATGCCCTGGGTACTGAATCTGCTTATGTTCTAGCTAACAGTTCTCTTTCTTTACAAAGAGTTGATTAACTCTTAAGATAGAGAAGACAGTGTTTTTATGATGCTAGTGTTCGGCCTCACTCTTGCTGTATATTAAAATGTCATAAGAAAAACACTTGAGCATATTTCCTCAAACACTGTTGGAAAACTTCATTCATAAGGATTTGAGAAGTAGGAGCATTGGATAAGCTAAATGGCATCACTAGGAATTCATAGTGACCATGATGGGTGCGAAAAGCAATTTTGGTAATGTCATTAGGATGCATCCATATCTGATGATTCCCAAGCCGAAGGTCCAACTTCGCAAACAAGGTTGCCCCCTTCAGTTCATCGTTGCCTCCTTCAGTTCATCCAATAGCTCCTCAATGACTGGTATAGGAAACTTATCCTTGATAGTGATTCCATCCAATGCTCGATAGTCTATGCAAAACCACCATGAGCTGTCACTCTTTTTTACCAACAAGACAGGAGAGGAAAAAGGACTTTGAATAAGCGAATGAGCCCTTGAGTGAGCATCTCCATGACCATTTTTTCAATCTCTTCTTTCTGATAGTGAGGATATCGAAAGATCCAAACATTCATGGGTTGATTGCCCTCCTGTAGTGGAATTTTATGGTCATGAATTCGGCTTAGGGGTAATCTGATTGCCCTGCAAAAAACATCCAGAAATTACTGCTGGATATGCTGCCATTTATCAGACTCATTGGCATTCGTTTGAGAATCTAAGGATATTTAAAGCAAAGTACTCTTTCGTCTACCATGATGCTTGTTGTGTTGCCTTGGTCTTTATCATTGTGCATTAGCGGTTTTGAGTCCCTTTAAAGTCACCTCTTTCGTCCCTATAGTGAATTTCATCTCCATGCTTTGAAAATTTCACAATATGGGTCCTAGTGTCTGAAGCCACTGAGCTCTTAGTACTGCATCATAACCCTTCAACGGTAATAATAAAAACCAGAGGCACCTGCGGACAAAGACCCATGCTGCTGAGGTTATCTCCATTGGCAATCATCACCTTCAAAGGTGGTCCTTGCTCAATTTGAAGGCCAACAGCCCTTGCCACCCACTTTTGTAGGAAATTATGAGTGGACCGGGATTCTATTAGAATTGTGATCGAGTGACCCATGATTTTCACGTGGACCCCGAGTCTATTAAAATTATGATCGAGTGCCTCATGATTTTCGCACCTACCTACACGGTCTGAGGAGTGAGGACGCTGATGAAGGCGTCAACGGAGACTTCTAGTGCCTCTTATTCTTCAATGGAGTTGTCATCAAGGAGAAAATCTAGTAGGGTCTCGGGTCCGTGCTCAAGTTCAATGAAGAAGAGTTTCCTGCAAGCATGTCCCACTGTGTAAACCTCATCATAATGGAAGCAAAAACCCTTGTCACCGTCGCTGTCATAGCTTCATGGATGTGAATTGTTGAATTGGGGTAGAAGGATTGAGAGAGGATGTTTGATTGAAAAATCTTTTAGCCCTAGTCCATAATGGACTATCTTTATGGGTTACTTCAGTGGGTAGTGGCTTAGGGGGTCGCTTAAACAAAGGACTAAGCAGTGGCTCTAGGCCTTAGTAGCCCGGCTTTTAAAGACTCTGACCAGTCCAATGGCCTTATTCAGACTAAGGGGCGTTGGGCTTGCATATTAGCCCATATAGGCTCCTTAAAGCCACTAAGAAAGGCTCCTGTCTCTTGGTCATCAGTTAGAGTTCCTGCTTGGACTGGCAATCTATCAAATTGAGTTTTGTCTTCACGAACCGTACCCATTTGCTTAAGTTTGCACAAATCAACAAATGAATTCTCATAGGTTGACAGGCTAAAGCTTCTAACAAGTACGTCCTTCGATTCACACTATGTGAGGTTTGGGTGCAATTTTTTTTTTTTGTCTTTGAGCCCATAATTGAGCATCTCCTTCCTAGTCCTAGTGATAAATGGACAGTCACATCTATTCCTCTGTAGCAGTTTCTTGAAAATCAAAGAACTGCTCCACCCGATTAATCCGAAGTGTGGGATCTACTGATCCATCACACCGAGGAAAGTCTAGTTTAACTAGTTTGGGAGCAAAATTCCCACTGGAACCCTCCCCATTGATGATTTGTAGAAGACTTGTCCCTAGCTTGAAATGCTTGGAGCATCTTTGTCATTTTTTTCCTAAGGCTCTTAATACGGTGCTCAAGTTAAAGAAATCGTTGGTCGTGCAGTTCTTCGGCCGTGGGTGACTCTGATACCAAGATGTCGTCAAGTGTCTGATCGTTCCATCATCTATGCCTGGATCACACGTTCGTTGCCTTCCACGAGCTATCTTAAAAGAAAGTAATAGAACAAAGCTAACAATTGTAGAAGCAATTAGTAGGATATGTAAGGAAGGAAAATTAATCATCTACTTGATTCAACTCAGCCTTGCCTTTAAATAGGTTGTTTATGATGGGAAAAGAAAGCAAACTAACTAACAAACTAGAGCTATTCAAAAGGAAATAAATTAGGGAATCTGTTAATACAAAATAGGACTATTGCCATAAATCGAACGGCCTATTATTAAAGATGGTAGATTGTCGATAAATTTTATAATACATCGAGAGTAGCTCAGTTGCATATACGATAGTTATTTCATTAGCCCTCTTTGAGGAGAGAGATAGACAAAAAAGAAAGAGAAAAAAAAACAAGAGAGAGAAAATAAAAAATTTGAGCGAACATGTAAATCGGTGAATATGGACGTAATTTCTCTCTTTTTTTATGTCTATAGACTAACTATAACATTTTATTGTAGGTTTTTATCAGCCATTAAGTTCAACTTTTTTTATGTACTTTTAAAATTACTTTCTAACATATTGCCGCTTTCATCCTTTTTTTTTTTTTTTAATTACTCTAAGCTTTTACTATAAGAGTGCATTCAAGAACAGAATCGTTATTTTTTGCAGAAAAGAATATTCAATGTTATTTACTATTATTATTATTACCCAGGACATGTATAGCATTAATGGTTAGAACTCTACAATTTATTTATAAACAAATTTTATAGTTCAACTTTCTTGTAACTGTTTGATTTTTAGATTTAGATGGTAGATGCAATAAATTCATTCGTATTTAGAAACTTTTTTAGAACAATACAATCTAGCTTTCTTTATTAATTTTCTTTGACCATCTACCTAACAGATTTCTTGACTATCCATTACCTCCCTCCCATCCCACCTCCAGGGTATACAGTTATTTTCCCCCTCGCACGATCATAGAACATTAAAATCCACTGCCATTGTCCTCAAAGGAAAGTCAACAAATAAAAAACAACACAGAGAAAATAAACTACAACATCTAGGTCATAATACAAAGCTAGGCACACCCATAAGTTATCTAAACCACATGCCTTTCTCATAAGTTTTCTTTTAAATTCTATGTTTACAAATATATCACGGCAATGGCATCACCCCAAACCAACCACTCAATCGGGATTCTTGCCATGGAGCAGTATTTTTTTCACTCAAGTTCTAGTACCCATACGTCGTCCTCTTCATCATCCTCATGAACTCTTCCATACTCACTTCTCCATCATCTGTGTGCATTACATTACCCATCAGATCCACAAGTAGAAAAATGTGTGAATTGTATAACATTAAGGCTAGTATCTCGCAATTATAAAATTAAATTAGGTAAAGACTTGTATGCAAGCTCAATATCCTAATTTACACTGGCTATGTAATGAGATAAATTAGCTTTGACGTCTCATGGTGTCAGTTTACAATTTCAAAAGCTAGAAGCCTAGGACACTACCTTAAGGATTTGTCATACGTGACACATTCAAAAGTAGTTCCAAAACAATTTCATGCCAATTGATTGTCAAATAAACCACCCATTACATGATGAAGGAATTCTCACTGGCTTGTTACATAACATTTTGCTCTCTAATTTTAAATTTTCACTCTTGCTCTAAATCCTATTTAAAAAAATATTGTGAAGATTAATGCAGTGTTTCAAAACAAGGCATTCCCTTAGTTATACAAGCAGGCAGAGACTCTATTTCAACAACAGGTTTAAAAATTTTCATTGTATTTGCAGGATGTAATTTTCCCCTAGTGCTTTTAGCTCTTCCAAAAAAATAAAAAATAAAAAATAAAAAAATAATAACAGGTTCAAAATTTTAACTTCCAAAACTAAGATTTAAGGAATGACAACAGGCTCACTTACGATCTCGGTCGGCTTCCTCAACCATCTCTTCGATCTCTCTGTCAGTGAAGCTTTCACCAAGCTCCTTGGCTATTCGCTTGATGTCATTTACAGAAATTTTTCCCTGAACCAAAATAAATTAAATAATAAATCATCAACAAGAATGAGCAAAATCAAGGATAAATCAACCAAAACACACATTGTTATCGTGGTCAATAATAAGGAATGCTTTTGAAAGCTCTTCCTTTGTGTCCCTTTCTCCAATCTTGGCTGTCATCATATGCTCAAATTCATCATAATCAATCGCACCACTGCCATCTTTGTCAACATCTGCAATCATTTGCTCGATTTGCTGCAAAGGCATAACCAAGCAATATGTTACCATGCAGTCATGTCCTCAAAACGGATGAAACAATCATGGCACTCACATTCAGGAGGATGCAAGTCAGGTAAGAAACTAATTGAGCAAAGTTATTGCAGCACAAATCTACTTCAAGCTTACCACATTGCTCTCTAAAGCCTTTTGTTGTTTTTTTTTTTTTTTCCCGATAGGGCTTCAAAGCCCATATTATCTCCAAATAGCTAATACTTTTGTATAGATATGCCAATAAGATTCTATATGCTACAAATGCTCCTCAATTTTTTAACTATGATGCAAGAAAGAAAGTGAAGGAAGACTAAATTATAGAGTAATAACGATCATTGATAGGTGGAACAAGTTCCTTAAACACAAGAAAAAGATAAAATCCTCCTATATAGAGGAGGTTTCCTAAGGAAAGGCCCCGTCATATTCCTTGTCTTTTTCAGTGGACACAGCTAAAAGCAATTATCTTTTGACAATTTCCATTTTCTCTCGAGATAGAGAAAAATGAATTTTTATTGGGATATCAACTTCTACACTGTTAAGACTTTAAGATTATTACAAAGGGCTTTCAATCTCCCAAGAACAAGGACCAACTTACACTATCTTGAAGCAATGTAGCCTACTACAAGTGATGCCTAATTCCCATCCTTAGATATTTTTTATTGGCCTTGTGTCTTTTAATTACAAAAATGGTTATATTTAAGCATCATTGTAAATACGGAATCACCTAGTTTCCAGCTCAAATGAATAATTCAGCTAAAAATATTATCTATCTACTGATCCCTAACTTGGTTTTGTTATTTCATCCCCAACAGCATGATGGTCAACCACATGAAACAAAGAAATGAGAAATTTTAAGGAGACAAAGATGGCATCTATAGGACAGTCCAATGCAATATCCTTTTCAAAAACAAGTGAAACTATTGCAAGAAATCGTTGACTAAATTTACTTCAAAACAGTTTGCATGAAAAGGCCTGTTGATACGTGTGTGAAATAGGAAAACCAATTCAATCTAAGATGATAAGCTCCATTATGCTGTTTATGGAAAACCACAATTGCAAAGTGTGTACAAATACTGTAAGGTGAGATAGCATTCGCCCATACATCGATGAGAAAAATGGTTTTCTAAAACATTGTAGATAAAAGAAAGCTCAACACATGCACATAATAAGGCACAGAAGGTACCTCTTCTGTCATCTCGAAACCAAGCGCCCTGTTATCAGACATTTTTTGTTACAATAATTTCAAGACAAATCAACTTAAAAAGACTCATCAAATGTGATAAGATATTCATACCTCATGGCAACATTCAGCTCTTTTGCATCAATAGTGCCTGGACAACATAGCAAAAGAAACCAACAAATCAATAGGAAAATAACCACACATGTTGAAAAAAGAAGCAACAGATAATTTGAGTACCTGAGCCATCAGTATCAAATAGTTCAAACGCTTCCCTAATTTCCTGCCTCTTCTGTGAAGTTAACCCATGTTGTCGTCTGTGTTTATCTTTTCTAGATTGTGCTCTATAAAGACTTGCCTAAAGAAGCACAACGGTAACATAAATTTCATTCACATTACAAAAAATATTAGAAAACAAGGAATCTGAATAAACCACGAACTAAGCATCTAAAAAAGTTTTGGACAGCAGGGAACAAAAAATAAAAGATAAACCACATAAACAAAACACCAGTATATTTCAAATTATTTCAGAATGTTCATATTCGATCTCACACAACGCTCTGTGCCTCCTGTACGAACTCGTCGCATCGAAACCTGTTAGATTGGTATTGGTGAGGTGACCATGGGCCCTGAGTTATTGAAAAATCTATCACCTTTTAAGGGTAATTCTTCGAAACCCATAAGAAAAAACTCACATGGAACTCAGTTTACTCAACTAACAATTACTGAAGCTAATAAAAATCAAGCTTGGGATCGTAATTTCATGTCTTCATAAAACAAAGCTGTTTAGTGATTCTAAATCAAAATTAATCCAAATAAATTCACTTAGAATCAAATAACACGATATATGGGGATTATTCTACATCAAGCAAACAATAACGGTAGCCAAATCATGCAAATTGTGCAAAGCAATCCAAAGACATCGAACAAGGAAATAATTTCAAAATTAGAGAGAGATTAAAGGATTTTGTGGGAAAGAAAAACTAACCATGAGTTTTCACCGGATGAGATTCGAAAGGAAAAAAAGAAATCTTAACCAATCTGAAAATCTCGTCTGTCTGGTCTTTAATGATGTTTTTGTTTTGCCTTTTGTTCTTCTGTTTTAGAGCACGCCAACACGGAAAACCAAATTGGCTTCAGAGCCCGTTTGTCTAATTCTGTTCTATTATTATAGATGGGCCTCTGTCTAGGTAGCACTGCTAATTTCAAGACCGTCCATCGCCATTAACACTGAGATGGCCCATTAGAGATGACATAAACTAGTTTGTTGCTCTCGTTACATTGTGGATCAAGCAAAACTAAATCATTTCAATTTGATACTTCACGTTATATTATGAATATATTAAAATATATTAAATTAAAATTAATTTTTTTTATAAAAAAAATCTAATAATTTTTTAATTAAAATTTTATATTTAATTGATTATTAATTATGTTTTTTATAAATTTTCAAATAAAAAAAAACATGATTTGTTATTTTATATGCATTGATTCTTAAATAAAAACCTACAATAATTTCTATAAAGAAAAAATTAATTTTTAAAATCACATGCATTTAATATATATATATATATATATTGACTCACAAAATAATCAATAAAAATTGTATTGAAGCATTGGGTGGTTCTTTTAAAATATTATTTTAATTATTTTATTCAAAAGAAACTAAATTTACAATTCCAAAAGAAAAAAAATTAATAATAAATAGTTAGTTTTATGTGTATAGATGCATAGTTAATTTCTAATAAAATGGATGATCTTTTTTTTTTTGTTTTTTTTACATATCATAACTAATCAAGAGTTTTAGAATATGTAGTATAAAACTGTGTGTGTGTGTGTGTGTAACGAATGCATTAAATGAATTTGAAGTTAATAGATTGAAATAAAAACTAGTATAAATTTGACTTTAATAACTTTTTATTAAATAAAAAGAACCAAATAACACATGTAAAATCTATTTTGTAATTGATTATTTTAATTTTTTTTAATCTAAGACAAAGTATCTAAAATACATTTCTAATCTTTAGATTATATATATATTTCTTCCATTTAAAAATCATAACAATTTATTATATAAATTATATTAATGTATTTTTAAAAAAAGAAAAAAAATCAAATTCTAATTTTTTATTAAAAAAATTTATGCATAGAGAAAAATAAATCATATTTTTTAATAAATAAAATTATATAAAAAATAAATTAAAAAATCATTTGGATGTTCCCATAAAAAATAACAAATTGAAGACATCATCTTGACTTTTGAAAAAAAAAAAAAAAAAACAGAAATAACAAATCAAAGCAAATATATTATCGTCAGGTTGCATAAAAAAAAATTATTTTTTCATAAATTTAACATAAAAATCATAATTAAAAAAATAAAAAATTGATGAAAAAGTACAAAAGAAAAATTTATAAAGTTATTTAAAGTTTAGAATGATTAAGTTAAATAAAGGATTGACTGTGTGTATGGTAGGTGCATTGAAAATAAGTATTCAAAAGTTTAAATAATTGCCACATCACGATAATATGAAATTTTATATTTCTAAGGAAGTAGGAAATTTTTGTCGTTAATTTAATCACCCTAAACTTAAATAGCCCTTTAAAAAAAAAAATTCATCTCACGATTTATTCCCTTTCCTTTTTTTAAAAAAAAAAAAAAAAAAAATCATTCTCGTAACACAATTGTCAATTGGGTTTTTAGAAAAAACTTTCTAAGTTTCAGTGAACTTTTTAGTTCCTATATCTATTAAGTGGAAATATGGCTATTCTTTTTTTATTTTATTTTTTCCTTTGTAAATGAAAATCTTATTAATCCTTTATTTGTTTTTATGCTTGCTTAGTAATCGTAGTATTATTTTCTTGAATCACATATATAGTGCCTACTAAGTACTTGACAAATTACCTCAATAAATTCTGACCTGCAATTTGACTTTGTAATTTCATGACATAATCAATCGGGTTTGTTTATTCTCTACAAATTTTGTTGCCTTTTTAGGCTTGGAACTAGAAAAATATTGAACAAGAAATTTCAGCGTTTCCTTTTGCTAACGTTTCAAATGTTTCATATTCCAAGCGTAGTATTTGAGTGTGAGAAAAGAACGTGGGTTATTTATCTAATCAATGTAAATAAACATAAAGTTTTTAAAACAAAATGACTAATTTCTTGAGTTAAAAAGATTGTAGGATTAAGAGAAATTTTATAATACACAAGAAGTAACTAGTGGCATATACATTAGTTATTCCTTGAGCTCACTTTGAAAAGAGAGATAGACACACAAAAAGAGAAAAAAATATGAGAAAGAAAATAAAAAAATTTGAACGGATGTGAAAATCTTCTTATTATTTTTTGTGGATATGGATGTAATATCTCTTTTTTTTTTATGTATCTATTTCTCTCTTCAAAGTGAGTCCAATGAGTAACTACTATACATGTCACTGAGTTACTACTTGTGTATTATAAAATTTTCGCAGGACTAGTGTTGTTTTTTTCGTTTTTCTTTTATTTCTATCGGACGCGGCTGTTCACTGTAGTGGTAACCAACAAAACAACATGACCAGAACGAAAAAAACGAAACATTGAGCAATATAAAGGAAACTGGTGGTGACGAAAAAGTGGAGTTTTAGACTTTTTCATTAGTTTTAAGCCATTAAAGATGACTTATCCTAAATAGTTAAAGATTTGATCTTTCAATTAAAAATAAATATTTTAGATCAAGTGTAGCAAGCACATTTCAAGCAATAAAAAAAAAAAAAATTGAGTTTAAGCATCTTTATTTACTTTTTGTAAATCCATAAGGCCCTTCACCACAATACTAATGTCAGCATCCGATTTTGACTCTTTTAATTTTTACAATTTTGCCAAAAATTAAACTTTTTTTGTTCAATTTGGTCAATTTCCCCAAATTATAGCTGTTTTTCGCATTTTTTTATAAGTTTTAGAATTTTGTGTGAGTTTTTGAAAAATCATCAAGCATAAAAAAAAAAAAAAAAAAAAAAAAGAGAGAGAGAGAGAGAGAGGGAAAGCAATCAATGAAAAAAATTGAGAAAAGGAAAAAAGAAGGAAAAAAGAGAAAAAAAATTTTAATGCCACTAAATGTCGATATATAAATAATTAAATTTTAAATGCCACTAAATGTCGATTAACGACATAGCTAAAAGCCTCAAAACTACTTTTTTATTTACTGTATCCCAAGACGGCAATGTTACTCAATCTAACAAAAAGGCATGTAAAAGTCCAATGATAAAATTTTGCTAATGTTTTTATGCTTTGTATGTCCAGACTCCCGACCTAGGTGGGATCTTAGAAAAGGCCCGTTGCGTTCGGGATTGCCAAAATTACTCCATGTATATATATATATAGGAAAAGAAAACTAGCTTCTTGTTTCCATAATAATTTTTTTACAGAAATTTAAATGCCATTTTTAATACAATATAACTGCATTTTAACTGTCAATTGTTATCTAAAGACTACACAATTCATTTAAACTTGTTCATTGATTTTAACATACACCAATTTTCACTTCTGTGTACCACAAGAAGGATTAAAGAAAATAGTTTATGATCATATCCTAAAATTACCTCTTATAACTCCCAAGACTTTATTTGCCACTTCTTCTCCAAATTGAACGGGCATGCTTGAGCTCAAATCCATCTCAATTGCTCTACTCTTTATCATTCGATCCCTTTTCTCCAGTTGAGCCCTCTCATCTTCCCCAACACTGCTTGTTCTTTTACAAACACAACTATCCATCCATATTTCAAGAACCTCATTAGCTATGGGAACAATATTGTTGCGAATAATTTCTTCGGCACGCTCTGTCGTTCCACCATCCTCACATGTTATGCTAGCCAAAATCCCCGTGGGAGAAACAACATTTCGAAAGTAGAGGGAAGAGGAGAAGTAGGGTTTGGCTTCAGGGATGTGTGTGTCAAATTGTTGCCTACGTGCTTCGAGTTGAGTGTCTTCATAAAAAGTTTTGAGGTAATCTGGGTGGAGGACTAGGTCCTTCCTCGGAATTAAATCAAGGAAGAAGATGAAGTATGTTGGGCTGCATTGAACCAGCTCGAATTGAAAATGTGGGGCGTCTGTTGATGGTTTGAGATAACCTTGAATGTTAGTTATGTTCATTGCTCCCCCTGCTGGTAGGGCCAAATGTAGCCAACTCGCCAATATGAAATCGATCTGGCTTCCATGAAAAATAAAATAATCAGTCAAATATTGAGAATCATGAATCTCTTCACCCAAAATTGGAGAGGGGATTTCCAAAACAGTTGATCCATGAATTCATGATAGAATGACAAGCTATCATGACATAATCTCATCTCATAATACACTTAATTTCATCTTGAAATCCTATTTTTTTCCTTTTCAAGTTTCATTTTAGTTTTTATGACTTTAGTTCTACGTTTGGATATCAAATTTTTTAAACTGTTCCTAAACTTCAATAGGAAAAAAAAATCTAATTTGATTTAAATTTTACAAACAAAATCCTAAAGATACTTGAACTCGTAACAATAAATATATATATACAGAGAGAGAGAGGCACTTGAGTAACATATATAAATTATATAGCTAATATCATATCTTTTATATTTGTTTCAAGTCTACTAAAATTCTCTATATCACTTTGAAGAGTTTCTCTGATAATTCATCTGCTTTGCCAAGACTATGCTTTAAATAATTGGAAAGTGGTTTGTAGTCCAATTGCTATTTTGTAAATTTAACACATGACTCGGTCCTTTTTTTTTTCTTTGCTAAAAAATTCCCATGCTATTTTTTGCAATCTAATAAATTTAATTTATTTCTTTTTTGCACAATACAAATTTAAAATAGTAATACTAGATATAATTTAAAAATATAAAATTATGTCATTCAACATCACTAGTGATATATATATATAGAGGAGTCATTCATAGTCTCTTTCAAGTTTAGAAATCATGCATATATTGTTAAATTATATGTTTATTATTTGCTAAATGTTTTATATTTTGTACTTCAAAAAGAATATAGTGACTATCTAACTTATGTTATAGGCCACTAAGTATTTAATAAAGACATATTATATATATTATCAAGAGACTCTAACATAGTAATTTTATATATTCTTAATCGATGACATTAATTATCATCATTATCGTATAGTCATAATATAAATTAAACTTTAATTATGGAGTAAATTTAGAAATTTAGATTAATTTTTATACAATTTGCTATGTAATATTGTAATGATAATTGTATATATTAAAAAAAATAAAGAACAAGATTTTTTATATATATAAATTGAAATTTAGTTAAAAAGTAAAAGTTGGAAAATTAGGTTTGTTTTATTGAGTTTGTAACAATTAAATATATTTAAAAAAAATAGTAAAGATATTGGATTGGGTATGGGTTGGGTTGGATGATAGAACATATGAACCCTTTACCTACCGCCACACTCAGTCTAAGTGAAAATGGATCGAGTTTTCACTCAATCTGCTTTAAACCAGATCAAACTATATAAAAACAGGATCGCTTTGACCCAGATCAAACCAAGTAAAAATCCCAATCCATGTCAAACCGGATAAAAACCTGACCCAATCAGGTTGAGCGATGCTGGATGCATGGTGACTCGGGTGAAATTACTATCCCTACTTAAGATCCTACAAATAGGGTTTATGATCTATCAAACAATTTTTTATTTATCTAATAATTTCTCAATTTTATTTTTCAGTCATCACCAATCAATAACTTAACATACACTTAATATTAAGGGTCACTGAGCTTTTTGTTAGAGCGTCAATCATTGAGGGTAATGGTTTGTAATCTTAACAGATGCTTGGTGTCTATGCTATTTCTGATATAAATATTAGGTGTTCTCGGTTGTTTGATGTAGTTAGTATTTTGAATTCAATAAATGGTCCTTTTTCTTTAATGGGGAACTTTAATGATATTCTATCTTTCATGGAGAAACAAGGTGGACAGTTTGGGGAGGCATGGAGCTTCGTATGTTGAAAGATTTAGTTGATGAATTGAGTTTGGTTGATTTGGGTTTTCAGGGCTCTATGTATACATGGCAAAATAGACAAAATACAAAAGGGTTAATTCAGAAGAGATTGGACAGGAGATTTGCTGATAATGTCTGAGTTCAGGAGCTTCCTTTAGAGATGGTTTATCATTTGGATTTCATTGGTTCTGACCATAAACCTTTACTTTTGGATTCTCAGGGCTCTTCTCGAAGGGTTAAGCATCCTTTTTGTTTTGATAATAGATGAGGGTGTGATCAGATTATTAGAAGGGCTTGGAATTTGGAGGTGATGGGTTCCAAATGGTACAAAGTGCTGAAGAGAATTAGAGAACGTAGAATGCAAATTCTTGACTGGAGGAAAAAAGCTAATGTTAATTCACGGAAGCAAATTGAGGAAGCTAGGGCACATCTGACCGGTCTAATGGCTTGGCTAGAAGGGTTTTCTTTTGATAGGGTTGATGTGCTTGATGCAGAAATAAAGTTGAAGAAAGCTTGGCTAGAAGAAGAGAAATATTGGCGGACAAAGTCTAGAAATTAATGGCTTCAATTAGAAAATCATAATACTCCTTTTTTTTTTAATTTTTTTTTTTAACTCATACGCCCAAAACTCCTAATAGAATTAGTCTACTAGGATTCGAACTGTAATACCTCCTTTTATTCAAAAACTATTCAAAGGAGGAGGCGTAACAAATTGGTAGGTTTGTATGATGGGAATGGAGTGTGGTGGGATAAGGATAATAATATGAAGAGGCTTGCTAGAAGTTACTTCCAATCATTGTTCACTTCTAATCTTCCTCCTAAATATGTCTTCAATTTGGACTACATAGCTCCGTTGTTTCTCACCAAATGAACCGAGCTCTTACTGCTGATGTTGTGGATGGGGAGATTGAAGTGGCCCTCAAACAAATCAATCCTAACAAAGCCTCCAAACCAGATGGCATGACTTTAAAACTTATTCTAGCTTTTTGGGACATTGTTGGGAAGGATATAATGGAAGGTATTCGGAGTTTTTTACACAGCAGCTTTTTATTGAAGGGTATTAACTTCACCCACCTAGTGTTAGTACCTAAAGTTAAGAGTCCTTATACTATGATGCAACTTAGACCGATTAATCTACTTATTGTTTCATATAAAGTTATTGCAAAGGTATTAGTTAACAGACTAAAAGATTACTTGCCAAAATGTATAAGTGGGTGTCAGATGTTTTTGTTCCTAGAAGATTAACAAGTGATAACATACTAATTGCTCATGAAGTTATGCACTATCTAAAATTAAGAAAAATTTGAGGTAGAAATTAAACTAGACATTGGCAAAGCCTATGATCAAGTGGAATGGGGATATACTGAAGCGATTATGCGAAGGTTGAGATTTGCTGAGAAATGGATTTGTTGGGTTATGGCTTGTATATCTTCAATCTCTTATTCTGTGATGTTGAACAGGAAGTCCAGGGGTTATATCAAGCCAAGTAGGGGTCTTCAACAAGGTGACCCAGGGACGGCAATTTGCCCTGCCCCGATGGAGCCCCGCCCCGTTTCTCCCCGATCAATGCAGGGATTCCTTGCGTTGACCAAGGAACACGGCAGGTCGCCCCGTGAACAGGGATGGGATGGTGATGGTATTTTTCCGCTCCACTCAGTTTGCCCCGTTTGCTCTATTTTATGATTTTTATCTCTAAAATTATATTTATACCATATATAAAATCTGTGACTAGTGACTTTTAGAGCTTATTTCTACATGAACTATGATTTTTTTTTGCTATAGTTTGAAATTTGATAGTAGAATAGGATAAGACGAGATAAAAAAAAATTAGTAATTTTTTGCCCCGTCAATGTACTGCAGGGATCCCCGTCCCCGTTTGGGACAGGGATAGTATGACAAATTTTACCCCGAACGGGACACGGGACGGGAGTGGGGCAAAATTTTTAGGAGCGGGGTGAGGACGGGGACGGGGATGGCTATTCCCAACCCCCCCAATTGCCATTCCTAATGACCCTCTATCTCCCTATCTCTTCTTACTGGTGGTCGAGGTCTACGAGAGCTTATTCGGACGACAGTATATGATGGAAAAATTCAAGGAATTCATGTTGGGAGATATTGTCCATTAGTGACTAATCTTATGTTTTCGGATGATCTCTTTATTTTTTACAGAGCTTATAACAGTCAGGTTATTCGATCAATTCTTGAGGATTATGGTTTAGCGTCTGGTCAGGTGATGAATGAAGAAAAATCATCATGTTTCTTCAGTAAAAATACTCCAGCCAAGTTTGCAATCGTGTCTCTGATATGCTTGAGATTTCAAGAATAAGGGGGGATCCTTAGTACTTGGATTTGCCGTCTTATGTGGGAAGGGCTAAAAGGAAGATTTTTGTATGAATTAGGGAGCACGTGGGTAAAAAGATTAAAGGATGGCATAAAAACTACTATCTCTAGGAGGAAAAGAAGTACTGCAACAGCAATGCCTCTCTATAGCATGCCAGTTTTCAAGCTCCCAAGTTCTCTTTTGTTCTGAAATCACTGCAATGCTTGCTCAATTTTAGTGGAAATCAAAGGAAGAAGGTAGAGGCATTCACTGGATAAATTGAAAGAGACTTTCAGTTTCTAAAGACGAAGGGAGCCTTGGTTTTAAAGACCTACAATCTTTTAATCTTGCCATGTTAGCAAAACAAGGTTGGAGATTAATTTCTTCCCCGTATTCTTTGTTAGCAAGAATTTTGAGAGAAAAATACTTCCACATTGGTTGTTTTACGACTGCTTCTTTGGATTCTAGTCCATCGTGGGGATGGTGTAGCATTTTGGAAGGAAAGAAGATTTTAAACCTGTGTTCGAGATGGAGATCAGATCAACATATGGGATGATGCTTGGTTGTCTAGACCTTCTACTTTCTGAATTTTTTCAAGGAGGTCCTCCAGTGTACAGAGAGTTGCTGATATCATGGTTCCTAATCCTAGGAGATGGAATGTCAACCAATGTCAGATTTGTTTAACTTGGATATTGAAGCAATTTTAGACATTCCTTCGAGTGAAAGCAAGTTGGCAGATCGTCAACTGGCATTACAATAAAAATGAAAACTACTCTGTTAAATCAGGCTGTACTCCTGCTCTTGCAACGATGGATCCTAATGGATCTTTACCAGGTCCTTCAGTTCCACAAATCAGTGGGTGGCGAATGATAAAATTAAACACTTCATTTGGTATTGTTCTTCTAATACTCTAGCGGTAAGGAATAACATGCTAAGTAGAGGAGTTCAAATTGTAGATGAATGCCCATTTTGTCACTCTCATTATGAAACTATTTTACATCTATTCACTACTTGTCAAGTGGCTAAGATGGTTTGGTTCACTTCGTCACTTCAACTTGATGCTACTGGAATTAGTGCTGACTCTTTTTTGAATTGGTAGATCTTTTCAACTAAGAAATATGGGAAAGACCCTAAGGAGTCACTTCTACAAAGAGCAGCTTTCATTTTGTGACGGATTTGGAAGCACCAAAATGATGTAATTTTCAACAATGCTCACCCTGATCCTATGCTTATTGTAGTTCTAACTGAGGCATAGCTTTCGAAATTTATTGCTGCAATGGAGTCTTTGAAATCTATGGTGTTGACAGGCATAAATTCTCCAATAAATGATGTTGTTAATTCTAGTCGGTGGAGAGCTCTTGAGCAGTGATTTTTAAAATGCAATGTAAATGCTGTTTGGGTTAAGAACTCTAACGGTGGAGGAGTTGACTGTGTGATTAGAGATAGCTAATCCTGAAGCTTTGAAGGCTGTCGCCATTAAGGAAGCACTTAGCTGAATAAAGGGTATGGGTATGCAACAAGTGGAGATTGAATCAAAATGTCTGGAGATTCTCAAGTTCAACTAAAAGAAGAAAAACCATACATGCTGCAAGCAAGTGTGTGTCTGAGAGAGGGAGAGAGAGTACATACAGGAGAGGAATCGACGCCACGGTTGATGGAAAGAGTACCTTGAGAAGTACCACTCTGGTTCTGATAGTATTCAGCATCAGGAGGGACTGAGGCTGAAGAAGGAAGGAAATGACCATGAAGGCGTTTATCCAAGGCTGAGATAAGACCCACCATTAAATCTTTGTGAGGAGGCAAGAGATGAGGAAATTCCATTAACTTCTTCCCTCTCATCTGCTGCTCCATGCCAAAAGGTGTGGTTGATAAGGCACGTACTGGATTTCTGATCTTTCTAATGGATATTTGTTTCAATGGAAATAAATTAGGATTGACAATTGCATGTGGGCAAACTGGGAGGGTCACTATTACCATAACTGGATCTCGCTCTCTCTCTCCTACTTGCAATGTAATGGTGACTAAGAATTTGCATTGACATTTTTGTATGTAGGGAGGGGGAGAAGGAGAGGGTCACTGTCACCATGATTGAATCGCTCACCCTCTCCTCCTTGCAATGTAACTACTGGTCACGGGTCAACATCAAAATTCATTATAACTAAATTTAAATATTGTAAAATTATACCGATTATCTAAAAATTAGAATATATGACAGAAGATATTCAAAAATGTATTACAAAAATCCATTTTGATTAAAATAGTTTTAAAATTGTTCCTTTTATTGTAAGGAAGTTCTTAAAATATTAATATCATTTTGGATGTAAAATGGGATTTGGATAATATTTTTAAACTTTCAGATATTAAATGTAATTTCTTGATATCTAAGAGACTTGCTATAATTTATTCGTTATTTTTGTTAAAATATGGAGGTAGTAAGTGTTCAGTGAATACCATTGAACCAAGTTTTAGGCGATTTTTGTCCGATCATTAGCTCTTTAAAAAGGAGATTTTATTAAGTGGATGGCTCATGGCCGCCAGCTTAGTTAAAGCGCAGCAACGTTTTGATTTAACTGCAGTGTTTGATTAATACGTTTTGCTTTGAAAGTAGTTATCATTTTTAAAAAGAAATCGTTTTGTTTTTGGTTACCTTTGAAACGAATCCGGATATTTTCTATTTTTAATTTTCTCCACGATTAGATCCTCTATTTTAAAAAGACCTACGCTTTTTGTAGTTTGAATGAGATTTTTTTTTAAGTTTGATTGATATCTTTATTTTTTTGAGATTTATTATTTTAATTCATCAATCAATAATCAATTGTTTAGTAAATTTTTTTAAAAAAAAAATCAATTTCTAATTGATGATATTATAAAAAAAAAAATCGACAATAGTATAGGGTCTCAAATTAAAAGAAAAAAAAGGTAAAAGGTTCAAAAAAAAAAAAAACGATTGAAGAGAACGTGATTTGAAGTATATCCAATTTTTAATTAAAAAACTCGTATGCTTATTATAGGGTCTGTTTTCTTTTCTACTATCTTTGATATATATATATATATATATATATATATATATAAACACATCCCCTTTAACTTTTTACATGATTTAAGAAAGTAATTGATTATTGATTATGTCTTATCAATATTTTTTATTGATACTTTCCAAAGATACATTTTTTTTATTAGAATTGTTAGTTATCAAATTTAATCTCACATTACATGTAACCAATATTAATTTAAAGAAAAAAATCTAACCAAAATTAAGATGGTAAATTAAACAAAAAAATCTTTGAGTTAATTAACAATAAAGTTTAAAACAATTATAAAAAAATAACATACTAATATAAATATATCATTCCAAAATTTTGGCATGCAAGTGAAATCCTTACAAGAATAAATATTTTTTATGTAACAAAAAAATTTTTTAAAAAAATTTATAATTTTTATGTTAAAGTATTTGTATGTATAAAATGAAAGTTTAAAGAATATTGATCTTTTGTTAGTGAAAAACATAAAATAGAAGAAATAATTGATTTTATTTATCAATTAAAAGTATTTTATAAGAATACATTACTTAAATTTTTGACTAAATAAGCATTTTGGGACATATATATATAGGAAGGAGAACAATTTCTTTGAGACAGAAAGAGTAATTAAAATGACAACTTCTTTTTTAATTAATATTTTAATAAATTACAGATATACTAATATATGTTTATGTTTTATGTAACTTAATTACAAAACATAACAATAGAATTTAATCAAATATTGTTTAGTCGCTTAAAACATTTGTAAGCAGTATAGTAACTAACTAGTTTTTGTACTAGCGTTACGTTGTGGATCGAACAAAATAAATAAAATTATTTAAAAAAATATATATTTTATTTTGATGTTCCATGTTATATTGTATGTCTACCAAAATATATCAAGTCAAGACTGAATAAAAATTCATTCAATTTTATCATTTTGAATTAAAATTTGTATTTAACTAATTATTCTTTATATTTTCATAAATTTTTTATTAAAAAATATTATTTATTTATTTCTATCCACATTTTTAGCTAAAAACTTATTTTGTAAATTTTTTTCTAAACATCTTTTTTCCTTAAAATTTTTTCTCTTTGTATATCACATCACAGATCCTAATTGATTATAGAATCAAAGCATTCTCATTAATGTAAATTATTCATTATGGTTTTTACCTAGTATCAACTTGTATATTGCATTAACTATGAGATTACAATATGGTGTGTAAAATCGATTGTCTAGACGTCCTTCCGTAGTGTATTTTCCTTTTTTTTTATTATATGCTAAAAATTAATTCAATGATAAAATATAAAATAAAGCTCATATTCCCCAAAGCATAATTCAATGATACAAGTATAAATTTTTTCAACAATTTAATGTGAAAAAGAATCTAGACATCTTAATAAATGGATAATTAAAATAGCATCAAGATTCAAAGATAGGCATAAGAGTAGTAAGAATACATCAAAATAAAATAATGCCAAAACCATAACTAAAAATAGTAAAGATTCTTCAATTGGATGGTCTTCAAACAATAACTTCAAATTTGGTTGAGAAATCAACTTGAATCTACTCCATGATTTAAGGGTAGCAAAATTTAGCAAGATTACTTTCGACTTTGTGGTGGATCATCAAATTACTATATTATTAATTAGATTATTGCATAAGCATTAAACACATTCATCACAATAATACAATAATATATTAAAATACCAACTCTAGTAACTCCGTGAAAGACATGCTAGAATCTTGTAATATAGACATCCGCATATATAATAAGAAGAAAAAAATTATTCGATCATATTTGTTAAGAAATAATATTTCAAATCGAAATTAGTAATAAAATAAAAAAGAAATAAAGAAAAGTGAAGGTAGACCTTATTTTTTGAATTACATATGCCAATTTCTTTCAATAGTGATTATAACTAGTCAATTTCTACACAAGTAGAGCCTAATGCTCGTATTCGACTTCTATGATGATCGAGAAACAATTTGTTGTTTTTTAACCCCTAAGAGATTACGTTTTTGCTTAGTTAGATAGTATAACCGGAGGTACTTTTTCTATCATCCACATCTCTATCCCAATTAGAATCGAGTATAGGCAATGAGAGAGGAGATATCAAATTTTTTAATATGAAGTCTATGTGATTTGGTAGGATTAGGATATTGTAGAATCTATTTGACGGCAGATCAATGTTTTTCAATTAGGGAATGTATGTATCGAGCAATTTTATTGACATAATATGCTAGTATTATAGTCTTCTAACAATTATGCAATAGAGGAATGGATTAGAGAATGTTGTTCTAGCTCGTGGCATTTAACTTTGTACATGGACAAGCCGGTGTGCCAAGTCCTTTTGCACCATGTATCTTTGATTTTTTCAGCAATTGAGAGGCATATTTTTGTTGATTGAGAATAATGTCATTACTATTCTAATGGACTTCAATTCCCATAAAATAATGTAGGGCCCCAAGATGCTTTGTTGTAAAACTAGATTTATGCTCTTTAATGATTGAGTGTATCAACATGTGATTATTCCCAATGATGATTAAATCATCAACGTAGATAAGATAGAAAATAATGTCAACTTTTGTTCACTTAAAATAGAGTGAAATGTCCATCTTGTACCTTTGAAAGCCAATTGAGCATAACTCATAAATCAAGCATCGAAACCATTATCTTGGAGTTTGTTTTAATCCATACAATGATTTCTTTAGTTTATAAATATATGTAATCTTGTGGCATCAACAAATCCTTATGGATGCATCATATAAACTATTTTCATAATTAAATTGTGAAGGAATGCATTTGATATGTCTAGTTGATCAATTTTCCAGTTAAGATAGATAGCAAGAGACAAGATTAACTAAATTGATGTCGGCTTGATTACTAGACTATATGTCCGATTAAAGTTGTGATTATGTCATTGATGAAATCCTCTAGCCACTTAGACACATCTTGTAACAATCAATGGAGCCGTCATGATTGGTTTTGGTGTGGAAGACCCACTTATTGCCTATTACATTATAATATACTTGTTATGGACAAGTTCCCAATACTATTGTCAAGTAAGGCTTGAAACTCACTAGCCTTTGCAAAGTGCCACTTTGGTTGTCGATATACTTGACTAAAGGTATTGGGTTCTACTTGTTATGTGATGGTAAATGGAACTTAAGGTTTTAAAGAACTTGTCTTATTTTGAGTTACCATAAGATAGTAGACAATTATTGTTTAAGAGTCTTGTGTACTAGATGGAATATGATTGTACAATGTCAATTTTACTTATGGAGATATTAGTAAAGCATAGAGTGTAGGTGAGAGTTCTAATTGGATAGGTAGAGAATATAGATTGACTTGATTTGGGGTTTCATTTTGTGTGTTGAATTAAGAGTCTAAAGTGAAGAAAAGAGTAGTAAAGGTAGACTATGTTTGTGGTAAAATGGATAATTCAAAGGAACGACTAATAGATCCGGGAGATATGTAAGTTGATATCATAGTGTAAAGGGGATTAATAATTGTTTGAGGAGTTGTTATATCGAGTTGGGTGGAAGAGTTGGTTGGTAGAGTGGGTGACTCGATCGTTTGTGGTAGAAAGGTGACTTAAGGTTAGAGTTAGTGGTCATTGGGAGTTTGATTTTGGTAAGTTGATAAGGTTGATTCTTGAATTTATGGGACAAGTAAAGTGATAGTGGTTGGCATTAATGAGTTACCGAGGCATCCTTGTTTGATGGTGTAAATGGAAACACATGCTCATCAAAGAGAATATGACGTGAGACTATCATTTTTTTGGTAGAAATATTATAACATATGTATCCTTTATAAAGTTTATTATATCCAAGAAAGACACATAGGGGAGGAACGAGGTACTAATTTATGTTTGGAATAGGGACACCACGAATAACAAAGGTAACTAAAAAATTTTAATTCATCATAAAGAGGAGTAATACCAAAATGAACAAAAAAGAGATTTATTTTTCAATCTTGGTTTAGGCAATCTATTAATGATGTATGTTGTAATATCAAGAGATTTATGAGGTTTATTTAAGTCTTCCGTAAAGGATTCTACCCGTCACTCAATGAGAATTATACTTTAAGGCAACCCGTGTAACTAGTTTGCCGTGAGGACTTTGGCCAACAACACTTGCCCTCGGGACCACATGGCCTCTACTATAGGTCAGCATCCGGTCTAGATTCGACTTAGAAGCATCCAGATCCGCATTCGACTTAGAAGCATCTAATCATAATCAAGCATACGGTAGCTTCATGCTATTAGCTTTTCAATCATATGTAATGACCAATTGTGTGAATCAACGATTTCTCTTGTACTAGGTTAGATTACTATTACAAAACTATCATTAATAAGGTAAAACTAACCTATCTTATAACGATCTAAACCTAACTCATGTTTTCTATTGGTGGGTGAACAATCCAACACTTGGTGAATTTTGCTTCACAATGATAGGAAGAGCCGACATCGAAGGATCAAAAAGCAACATTGCTATAAATGCTTGGTTGCCACAAGCCGGTTATCCATATGGTAACTTTTCCGACACCTCTAGCTTCAAATTCGAAGGTCTAAAGGATCAATAGACCACACTTTCACGATTCCTATTCGTATTGGAAATCGGAATCAAATTAGCTTTTACCCTTTTATTCCATATGAGATTTTTGTTCTCATTGAGCTCATCTTAGGACACTTGCGTTATCTTTTGACGGATGTACTACCCCGACCAAACTCCTTACTTGATAATGTCTTTCACTCGAATTAGCCGATCGAAGCAACTTTAGGTCTAAAAAAGGGGTTGCGCCCTACCTTTGATTTACGAAATAAGTAAAATAACATTAAAGGTAGCGATATTTCTCCTTTGTCGAACTTCCCACTTATCCTACACCTCTTAAGTCATTTCACAAAGTAAGACTAGAGTCAAGCTTAATAGGATCTTCTTTCCGCACCGATTCGATTTGAGATATGTTATTAAACACTCCTCACTTATGGTTAATTTTTTGAAATCGTTAAATAATTTATACTTTAAAATGTTGGTGGACCCGTAGAACTTTTTGAAACTTTGATAGCAAATAAAGGTGACAAGGGTCGAATGTGAAATGATATTATCTTGTATAGAAGAAACCATAAGAATAGAATAAATAAAATGAGAAACGAGATAACAAGAAGGAAAAAAACAGATGAAAGAAAAGAAGAAGGATATATAGAATAGGAGGGGAAAAGATGTGACATTCTCTATTTTTGAGACAATATAGATGCCTATGACCACCACGCTTTGCCACGAAAAAAAAAAAAAAAGAGTTTTGAATAGGTCAAACCACCCATTGGTGACCATCCCAAAGGTTAAAAAAAAAAAAATCACCATTTCTTGAGCCCAACTTGGAATTGAAGGATCACCGGTATAACTAGTAGTCATCTCTTTAGAAAAAAACTATAATATCTTTAAAATAAGAATATGATGAAATGCATTTTGTGCTTTGTATTATTTAGTACTATGTATTTTATTTTATTTTTTCAAATATGATATAAAACAAATTATATATTATTCAAAATTATGACAAATCCGCAGTTTCTTCAATTTTCGTGAACTACATGTTGTTATATGATTTCAAACATCAAATAGAATGATTAGTTTATCCCATAAGAACACGATGTGTACCTCACCAAATAAAGATAGCAAAAGAAAAACTTGAGGAACAAAGAAGAGGAGATAGGATTCCATGAAAGAAAGAAGGAAAAAAAAAAAAAAACAACAACAACAGAGATACAGGTATTAGATTAGCATATAAAAAGAAAGAAATAGCATCATCCGAAGTACAATTCACACATCATTCACACATCCACTATAATTATTATTTTTAAAAAGATCGCATCAGAAGGGTCGATTGGTTTCTCAGGCTCGATCCTAACTTATGATTGCAACCCTTTTTGTAGTTATTAGCCGAATAAATTCGAACAACCTTTTTGTGGTTGAAGTGTAGTAGAAGCGTAGAAGGGACATAATCTAAGAATTTCGTGTTGCTGGTTTCATTTTGGTTCACATGTTTTCTTTCCGGTCATTGTCGATGAAGAGTCATACCACCCACCCCACTGTAGGCTCACCAAACACGTCTCAAAGGAAGATTATCTCTCATGATGTCATGTTCCTACAGGCCTTATCTTTAGACTTTGACTTCGATATTAAAGGCTTCTCATTTTCAAACACCTCAACAAACGCAAAATTGTTGTCTTTTTCACAATTTCTTTCGCTTTCTACATCACCAGACCCTATTGTTGAATTGTAAAAACTCAAGGGATCAAATGATCAATTATGATCCCGATTTGTTCCAGAAATGACCAACGTTTACAATTTGGGCCTTTCCTCTCTAATTCTTCTATACCAAGAACAGCCCAAAATGTGGCTGTTTTTTATTTGGGCTAGAACAAGAGCCTTTTTTATGCCCTATAAACCATCTCCGAGAAATGTACTCTTTTTTATTCAATTTTCAGTAGCAATCGAGTCCATTATTTTTTGTACCGATCTATCCGCTCCAATAAGCAATTTTCTGCCTCTGGAAATCAACCATTATTAAATATTTCATCCCTCTTTTTTCTTTTTTCTTGACATAAAAGTGGTAGGTTGATCAACGACCAATAAAATCATGCATGATTTTGAGTAATTTTGGATGAAATGTCAAAAAATGTAGAAAATATCATTGCTTTCTTCCTATTGCATTACATTCTATTCTACCAAATGTATAACTAATACTGCAATTAAAATGTATTCTCTGTAAGTTGCAAGCTAAGTTTCTGCATGTCAAAAGGGGGGTAAAACCATGCTAAATTTGCTAATGCATGCCATTCGTTTTTATTTTTCTTCTGTAGAACCACACATAGCCTAAGAAGAATAATTTACATATTCAATATTGATTCTCATGCGGGATCAACCTCAGACGTTATACGCGTTTTGTATGGCTCCTAATACTCTACCTGTGACTTCTGGACCAAACAATCTTGGAAAGTTTGTGCCTAGATCAATCTCAATAGTTTTTTTCTTTATTACCTCATCTCTCTTCTTCAAATAACCCTTCTCTTCCTTTCCCACCAATCTTTCTCCACAAGCACAATGATCCAACCAAATCCCCAAAACTTCCTTGGCAGTAATATCTATGTGATTTTTTATTATCTCCTCCATTCGTTCTGGTCCACCTGCTTCTGCTTCTATTTGAATCATAATGACAGTAGGCGAGAGGACAGAGCGGAGATAAAGGGATGAAGAGATGTAGGGTTGAACCTCAGGGAGTTTCGCAAGCATCTGCCTACGCATGTCTAGCTGGGTGTCCTCATAGAAAATTTGAAGATAGTCTGGAGAAAGGACAAGGTCCTTCCGTGGAGGCAAATCAAGAATGAGGATTAGCGATGTTGGACTACTCTGGATCAGCTCAATTATGAAATTTGGTGCATCTGTTGAAGGGTTCAGATAGGCTGAAAGGCTAGTTATATTCAATGCTCCACCAGTAGGTAGTTTACAGTGTAGCCAACTTCCCAATATGAAATCGACCTGAAAAATGTCCAGCTTTTAATTAGAAATTTTTCTATAACTTGTAATGCAATTAGAAAAATTAAGAATTGAAAATAACTACCCTAGATTGTTAACAACAGAGCAAATAATTTCCAATGCAGTTTATCAAAGCACCCAAATTTCTTCTTTTAATTTGTAACATCATGCAAGTACACTATAATTTGCAGCCTGTTTCATGTGAAGCCAGTAACAATATAGCATTCTGTAGGGCAATGATGCCATAACCAAAGAAAGCCTATGAATGAAAAGACTGCAAATCAGAGTAGACATCAGTTCTCATAACCAAGTAAATCAAGATTGAGTACTTCCTAATGCCTGCTACTATTTTAATAAGTCTTCCGAATTGGAATCAGCATTTCGACAGAAGAGCCGGACATCGAATACCCAGAAACTATGAAAGCACACAAATGACTGCATTACCTTTTTGTTATTCTAATTTCCCATAACCTCACAACCCTATATTTGTTGAATAAAAAGTGTAAAACCATGTCTCTACCTAAAGTTAGTTAAGGCGTCATTCCATGTTCATCATGCATAACTCAGCTATGGAATCAAACCAAATTTGTCATGTGATTCCAATACCTAGAACCACAAACTGAACCAAAATCTAATAATCACTATACCAACTATACAAAGCATTGGCACAAACATTATTTTGTGATCCAACTGAGTGCAGAACTGTCCCCTAATCAATTAAGAGGAAACTAGCACAACTCTAAATCTTTCTTGTGGATACATGCCAAAATTGCCAGTTTTCAAGAAATTAGCCGAGCACTATATATAGGGTTCGTAAAAAATGTAAGATGGCAATTAATCAGCAACCAAATAACCTACGAAGCAAACACAATGAAGGCATGTCTAAATGGGTTGATTAATTAAGGCCGAGTTTAGCTAAATAATTAACGTCGATCATTATTACTTGGTCAGACTACCAGTCGCAGCAGCACGCACTGGTTTAGGACTTTAGAATTATCAGTGGCACATGAGCAATAATAAATAAAACAACGAAGCAATTCAAAGTTTCAAACTTTACTACAAGAAGTGAGATCGATGAAATTACCTGGGAAGACTGATGGCCTGATCGAATATGAAGTGAAGCTTGGGCGCTCCCACTCTCGTTCTGGCAGTGTTGTACGTCAAGTGGAAGTGTACAAGGGAGGAGGTGTGAGCCAAGTCGATCCTCCACTGTTGATAAAAGATTAACCATGAGATCCCTGTGCGGGGCAGAGACAAATGGGAATTCTATGAATTTCTGACGTCCCTGGTTGTCAAGATCCATTTGGGATGCAGATGAAGATGAGGAGGAGGAGGAGGAGGAGAGTGATGGAGTGGCTGACATTTTTGTTCTCGAGGATTTGAGTGAAGTAGGAGATGGTAATGAGTGCGGTAAGTATAAAATTGCAGAGAAGCTGACAGCCATTAGTTCAGATTTTGTATCTACAAATTTCAATCACTGATATTTCACTTCTTAAGTTCCCAATAATTAGACTTTTGAACTCTCCTTCAGTGAACACCTGTACGGTTTATTTGTCTTCAAATAAAATCTCTAAACTGTTTTTCTCTCTTTTACTGAACATCTCAAACAGTAACTAAAAAAAAATTCATAAATTAGTCCATCTAGTTCTGAAAAAATAAATTAATTAATATTTTTATTTTAAAAATTAATTATTTAATTTTTATATTTTTAAATTTTTTTTCAAACTTAATCATTTTTATTTATTTATTTAATTTTTGTTTTAAGACGTAGAAAAAAATATAAAATATAAAAATTTATAAAAAAATTATATATTTTTTTTAAAATAAATTAATATTAAATTAAACATTGTAAATTTAAATAAGTATCATCTAGTTCTGAAAAAATAAATTAATTAATATTTTTATTTTAAAAATTAATTATTTAATTTTTATATTTTTAAATTTTTTTCAAACTTAATCATTTTTATTTATTTATTTAATTTTTTGTTTTAAGACGTAGAAAAAAATATAAAATATAAAAATTTATAAAAAAATTATATTTTTTTAAAATAAATTAATATTAAATTAAACATTGTAAATTTAAATAAGTATTTTCAAGTTCAAGTCTTTTATATATCCAAAAAAAAATCTTAAATAACTTTCATCACCTTATATATCCAATTAACCAATAAAAAAACTAATCTGCACTCTTAGTCCAAAATACTTTAAAAATAAAAATACATAAAATGTATTTAATAATTTAAGGAATAAAAATGAAACACCCTTCAAATTCAAACATCCACATTCATCGAATCACGTGTAAAAGTACGTTTCTTTTGTCGTCTCTGCTTGCACATAAGATCGGTCTTCTCCTTCTTCTCAGACATTTTAACTAGGGCAATAATATTAATTTCTCAAAAAATGAAACAAAACCCACTATTATTGATGACAACACTTTTAATCACATAAAAACAAAAAAGAAGATGAGTTCCTTCAGCAAACTTAGCACATGTTTGGTGGTACTTTCTTGCTGGAATGTTTGTGGAACTTTCTTGCTTGAAAGAAAAGGGGGTCACAGACCCATTTGCCTTTGATCCTTCCCCCGATACACAACACCAAAATCATAGTCATATCCAAATTACCATCCCACCCTTATTACACTCCCTACACAAATTACAGTTACAACAACAAACTACCTATATTATCAATATATAATAGATCCTCTTGTCTCCCTAATTTCAAGACTAAAAAGATCATCTACTGGCAGGTGCACGGTTCTTTTACCATGCACACCAACCATTTCCTCAATTGCAGATCTTGATTTCCTTCGCACGGGGCCCATCAAACCCAATTTTCTCATCACGGCCCCTCTTTTTCTTGCTTTGGCACTTCAACAAAACCCCAAACAATTTCAAGCCTTCCCCTTCTCCGCCATCATGATCATTACTCGGTTTTTTTCGTCATCGTCGTCGTCATCATCACTGTGATTATCGCCAACATCGGCCCCACCATCACACGTGGACCCACCACATTGCATGATGCCATTGATTTGGTCAGGGCCCACCTTAACATAATCGGTCAGAAAAGCAACCAACTCCTCGCATTGTTTCTTAGCTTGCGCGAGTTCACTAATCAATATCTCGTTATCTTTCCTCAACTTATCATTCTCGCCCGATAAATCGGCGACATGTGTCGCTGCCGTTTCGACCGATCCCGGGTTCTTCGAATCCGGTGATGATGTGGACGTGGACCCCAGGTCCTCTCCGGAGTTGGACGACAAGGATGCGCCTCCGGATTTTCCGGCAGGCGAGGTTTCCGTAGTCGGAGACGTAGCCGATGCCTTCCGGCGGCGGATCTCGGCAAGGAGCTCTTTCTGTCCTCGCCGGAAATTCTCGTTGGCGAATTCCCATTTCTCTGGCACAATTTTCCTAAAGCCCTGTAAAACAGTAAAAAACAATTAGAAAAAAAAAAATACACGTCTATTTTTTGGCACCGTCAAAGTTGAAACACTAAAAAGGAGGCGAGATGAGAAAAAAGGAGCAGACATGGGCCCAAACATTGCTATTAGGTGGGTAAGAAAACCGGCGCAGCATGGAAAATGGAATTCTAGAGAGTTCCATTTTCTACACATGTTAACAATCAACTAACTCTAACATTATCCAAAAAAACAAAAAGTAATAAATAAATAAAATAACCGTCACTTGAAATTACTGTAGCAGTAACCAAAATATACAGGCCTGGCCCAATCACAAGTCTTATTTGCATAACAAAAGACTTCCATTAGTTAGATGTAATTTTATAACATATCAGAAGAAATAAATAATATATCCAATAATTACTTTATGATCTTACTTAAAAAAAATAAATAATAAAAAAACAAAAATAAAAAAATTTTAACCGATGTAAAATCTTTTTTATAATTTTTTATAAATATAAGTATATTTTTTTCTATCTTTCTTTTTAAAATAAACTCATAAAATAAACTATTATAAGTATCACTAATTGTAATTAGTGTATTATAAAATTTCTCTGATGCATATGTGCACGCGTGTTAATTTCCGAGAATAAAAGAGACCACTGCAAAGCGTACATACCCTAGATCTTCTCTTCATTGATTAAAATATAACCTTTATAGCAAAGCAACTGAATTATATTTTTTGGGGACCATTTCCTACTTGTCTTTTTCTTATATACTTAGCATTATTTTTTTGTACCTAAAACTTTTCTCATTTTTTTTATTTTATTAAAGGAAGATTGTCCATGAATTTGCGTCAAAAAATCAAAATTGTGACCTAATTGAAAAAATATTTTTTTAATGAGGTTAAATTGTGTGAGTCAACACAAGTTATTGACTTTTTGGGGATCTAGTTTGAAATATCTATACATAGAGGGACCTCTATGCATTTTAGGCTTATGATTAATTCAATTTCTTCTAGAACTCTGTTCACTGAACATAGGACCCCACTTCTAGAACTGCATCTCTTCACATGCATAAATGCAGCTGCCTCCATACGCACAGTGAAAAATTAGCCCGAAAGACCATCATAACCCTCACCTAATACTTGTTTCTCTATTTAAGCATGGGTACAATCGACCTTATATTATCTTATATTATTGTTAATTAGTCCCATAAATTATATGTATGGCTCTATCCTCAGTTAACTAGTCCCAAGAATCTCAAGCAATTAATGGTAAATTTTCGTTTTCATGTAACAACTAAGCAAAAAATCACGCACCCAAAGCACGAAAAAGGTTCAAGTAAAGTAGACATGAAGTTATAGCATAGTAATTGCGATATGGTACGTCTGTTTTTCTCTCAGGAAAAGAAAGAAGAAAGAAGAATTAATTAACGAGCTGATTTTTGGACGACTCATACGATCACAAAGAAACTGGGTTTCCAAAAACATTAGCTAAAGCCTATAAGTCATCGAATGACATGCAAACAAAGAAATATTGAAAATCAAATCAAAGGTAATTAGTAACTTACATAGGTATTGAGTTGGCGAACAAAGCTTGAGAAGTTGTTGTGTTTGAAATAATTAGGAAGCAAATCCTTAGCAAAATCAGCAGTTTTCCACACAACAAAGGTTGTGCCACTTTCGTTCCACGATATCACTTCATCTGTGCTTGGATCATCCACCAATTGGTAAGTTTTTGTCAGAAACGGCGCTGGAACGGACCTTTGCGCCATTTCTTCCGAATTCACCCTCACCAAACCCCTTTAGAGAGAAAATATATATATAGCTCTGAAAATCTAGAACCGATTCTATATTTATATCTAACCCAGAAAAAGAACAAAGATCCTTCCTTCCTATGTGCAGTAAATGGAAAGAGGAAAAAGAGAGAGAAAAAAAATTCCTATATGTCTTGTTGAAGTGTTATTTAGATAGAGCAACTAAAAAGCAAAAGAGCAGTCAAGAATTCCCAGCCCCAGCAATAGAACCCAGGACGAAAGAATTTAGAGCTAACAAGATTGTTGAACAGTTTCTGCCTATCTGCTTCCATGGATGTTCTTGATTACCAAGATGAGACCTATGGTTGTTTCAGTAAGAACCCACAAACCCAAGACCATAACTTCGCTCTAAAGCCCCCTCTAGAGAAATATTTCTGTCCTTGGTTTCGTGTACGGGACTCTTATAAAGGAGAAAGGGGCAAGAGAAAGTGACGTAGGTTCTAAAAATTTCGAGAAGCCAAACACTAATATGAAAGAAACCCCCACTTTGGTCCTCTTTCAAAGCTACAGCAATAGTACACTTCCTAATTTCTATATAAGATAAAAGAGAGCGAGACGTACAAACAAACAAACAAAATAACACGCTTTTTTGAGAGATGGAGTTTTTTAAAAAATGAGGAATACATTTCCTTGGTCTTTTCATCGAGGGAAGCTTCTAATACATTTCTAAAATGGACTATTAGAAACGTTCAATCATCTAGTTCAACCATTGGTGATGGCTCATTGATAGCTTTATTTATTTATATATATATATATATATATATATTTTTTAGTAGTTTCTTACTTTTTCTTTCTAATGGGAAGAAACTGGGGTTGGGAAAAACCTTTTTCTTGTCCGCTTATTTTCCACACCTAACGTTTATTCCAAATAAGGTTGCTTCTTTTCGTCGTCATTATAGCCACTGTTTATATTGGCAACTTATCTGCTTACTTTTTCGCTTTCAGCTAACCCGCTTTGAAGGTAAGGTCGCTTGAATTGACAAAAAGAATGCCATAAAAAAAAAAAAAAAAAAATTAGTGGAATTACTAAAGAGAATCACCCTCCAACATTCACATGTATGCACGCACTCACACGTACGCGTAGAGGATTGTTCATTCTCTTGTTTGAATTTTCATTTTTTTTAATTAATCATTACCTTGAGAGTAATTGTGATTTGTGAGATGAAGGGGGTGGACTGCGGTAAATTAATTAATGCAACAAACCTAAAAAAATTATAAATGTCTGCCATATTTAAGACCATTTATGGCAGGGTTTTTTCCTCTCTCGATGGAACTTCCAGTTTTTGCATTACCTTCCAATGCCATTTGGGACATTTATAATGTCTCAATTATTAGAGATTGTTAATGAAATATGCACAGATTAAGTACCGGATATTTTCTGAATTTTGCAAAATTTAAATTAGGAAAGGGGTGAAAATGAAAGTTGTTAACACATTAAATATGTTGTCATTATCATAAGCCATAAATCCCGGAAATTGGATTGTAAGAACATATCGAACTGTTTTGCAGTATACATCACAAATATAAAAACAGCAAAGGGTATAAATATCATTTCTTTTGTCTCAAAAAATAAAATAAAGTAAATTGTTTCTTTTATTTTTTTTATAAAATTGAAGAAATTATTAATTCTTATGTTATATCAGTATTTTTTGAATTTTTTTATTAAAAAATATTACTTATCAAATTTAATTCTGCATTATATGAAATCAATATTAATTTAAAGATAAAATTTATCCAAAATTAAGATGGTAAATAAATAAATAAATAATCATTGAGTTAATTAATAATTAAGTTTAAAACAATTATGAAAAACTAACATACTAATTGAAATATTTTACATTAAAATTTTTAATATATAATAAAGTCTTTACAAAAATGAATATTTTTCACTTAACAAAAAATTTCTTTTAAAATTTTTACGTTAAAAATATTTGTATATGAAAAAAAAATGTATTGAAGAATATCAATTTTTTTTAGTGAAGAATAAAAAGAAAGAATTGATTTTTTTTATCGATTAAAAATATTAAAAAAATACATACTTTTAAATTTTAATCATTTTAAGAGAGAGAGAGAGAGTCAAATAATGTTTTTGGAGGGGAGCAAGAGAGTATTGCACCTACTTTTATTTTTCTTATTTTGATGTCTATTAGAGTTAAGCTCAATCTATAGGTCGTGGAGACCACGCATTTTGAAGTTAGGGCCTGAGGGGTAGGTTTTGTTGGAAACTTCTTCCCTGATTGAGCAACTTATCGTGTAAGCATTAATTAACTAAGCGATACATTGTGGGAGAAGTAGCCGCTGGAGGCATGAAAATCAAAATCCTAAACTATAATACTCATCAACAACTACTCCCAAACTCTCTGTCTTTGAATATATGTCTCCTATCCTATGTGAAATTGCACATGATTATCCAAACAGGCTTCTGAGTTTTCCCAGTGAAAACTTTCAAGGCTTTTATCTCAATAAAAATGCTAAGTTGTCTTCGCATTTGGCATCATGATTTTAAATCACAAGAGTAGATTTTGGCCAAAGCATCAATGATAATGTTTGTTCTAATATTTTAACAGAAAAAAAAATAATTAAATGGAAATTTAAAGAGGATAAATACACAAGTTAAGGTCATGGGTGCTTGCTAATTAAACCGTCATTGGTATTGAATGCAAATCTCCTGCTTCTCCATGAGGTTCTTGGACCAACTAACTTTCCACAGCTTAGAACTGGTCGTCTAATTAGGACAAGACAAACCTCCTCCTTATCTCCATGATTACCATTGCTCTTATGCTTTTGATATTCATCTGCTCGCTAGCTTTTGTGAAGCTAATTCTGACCCCAAATGGCAGCAAGCTATGCTCAAAGAATTGCAAGCATTGGAAAAGAATCATACTTGTAATTTGGTTGACTTACTTAAGGGAAAATATATCGTTGGTGGTAAATAGGTCTACAAGATTAAACCCAAATTAATCGAGTAGTCGAGCGGAATAATATGAAGCTCTTCTTATAGCCAAAGGATTCACTCATGAGTAAGGTATTGACTATGAGAAAACTTTTGATTCTATGACTCGGAAAACATTCGTTCGTACCTCTATTGTTGTCACAAACATATATAAGTTGCAACTTTTTCAAATGGATGTTAAAAACGCCTTTATAAATGGTGATCTTAGACATGCGGAATGGTGATGGAATTCTTATTTACGAACAAAAGTACTAGATTGGCTAATAGACGTTCAAACTCAAATCTTTGTTATATAATCTTTATTTGTTTTTCAAACTCAATATATAGCCTAAACAAATATTTATTGAACAATTAATGAGAACAAAAGTGACCTTCCATCTTCCGGCTAGACTTTTTAGCAAGGTATGAGGTTGGCTAGGATGACTAGTTGTCCCTAGCCATCCCCCATTATGTAGCAAAGTTTTTAAAAAATCATTTAGAATCACAAAGTAGTAACTCAGCGGATAAGTAAGCATTAATTTGTCAATCATGTCTAAGATTCAATTTTTATGGCAAGCACTACTCGGAAATTTATTTTCGGAATAACGAAAGTCGTGTGTTGGGGAGTGCCACTCGGCCACACCTAGAAAGTGATTAGTCTTGAACTATGCGAAAGCCGATTCGAAAACACCCTTATCGTTGAATCTAAAAAAATAAAAAATAAAAAATCAACTAGAACAAAATATAACGAACACATTTTTTTAGACTTGATATTTTTCATTATTTGTATTTTTTGCTATAGGTTTGTGTATCGGAAGACAAATGTAAAGATTGATATTGATTTGAACATAAAAATCGAAGCGGTTGACAATAAATCTATTCTTCTCATTTTAAACTAATATAGATTCATACTCATATGTGCATTTTAACAATTTTGGATAGCAACAAAATTAATGTCTTTATTAATCAAAGTTTTTTTTAAAAAAGATGATGATGAATAGTATTTCATACGTACTTTGATTGCAATAAACTTTATTGTTTATAGTAACACAAGTTACGTACCTATAGAACTCTACAAGATAACATACAAAGTAACTTTTATCTATCTTTAGTTTTATCTTAAGTATAACAAGTTGTTGTTGGGTCGACTTGTAGAGTTGTGTATGGTTTCTTCTGCTATAAGAGTTGGTGTTGCATTCATAACTTATATTGAGAGTCCATTGAAGCATTTGTTACTATAGCGAGTCCTAACTTAATGCCCTCCTACAAACTAACAATGGGTGATCACCAAGTGTCGGTTTGTCCCTAAAGAAACTAAACCATGCACCTTGGATAAATGTTTAGTCAAAATATCTATAATGCGGTCCCGAGTTAAAATATGTTACACACGTAAGCTCCCTCTTGCTACCATTTCTCCAATGAAATGGAAATCAATTTACACATGCTTTGTATGTGCATGGAATACGAGATTAGTCACTAAGTAAATTGCCCTAATATTGTCACACTAGATGATTGGTTAAGAGGTTTGATAGACACCTAATTCACCCAAAATAGAAGTAACCAACTAGAGTTTTATGGCCAAATATGCAACCGTTTTATATTCTACTTCGGTAGAGCTACGGGCTATCGTTTTCTCTTTGGAAGACTTCCAAGAGGTGAGATTTGGCCCAATGTAAATAGCAAACTCACTTGGTTGATTTTATGTCATCCAAGAATCCGACCTAATCAAAATAAAAAAAAAGCCGGAGAGAGTTTGATTATAAGATATTTGATGTGAATACCTTAGCTAGTTGTATGCTTATGATCATATAATATATGTTACATAGCAAACTAATGTTTAGAAAAAGGATGATGCATGAACCGATAAACCTTATTCACGGCATAAAAGATGTCGGGCCTTGTTAAAGAGAATACTTGGAGGGCACCAACCACTCGATGATACAATGTGGGATTAGAGAAAATGGTGCTCGCCATTGTTTGTTAATTTAGAGGATGTTAGCATAGGAGTTCAAACTGATCGATAGGA